ACCTGATTCCAATAACAGAGATTGATTTGATTTGGCCTGTTTAAGAAAGATAACAAAGATTGATGGGAGATCTGACATTTGATGTTAATTTATCATCATGAAATTTAGTGATCCTTTGGTCAACTTGTGCTAAGCATGACTTCATTGATTCATGAGCTACTGGAATCAAAGGACTGACAGCAGAAGATTAGCTGTGTGCTTTCAGTTCAGCGTTTCAAACCTGTCCATGGACAAAAGAAGACACGCTGGCAGGCAGGCTCCAGGACTTGCCAATTGCTGAAATACTTGAGGCTGAGTGATATAAAATAAGTTCAGACTATCTATTAATTTTGGATGAAAAATAACAAAGATCTTGAATGGAATACATTTGTCACATCCAAAATAATCAATTTCAACTAAAAATATCCACAACAATCCACCAACAATAATTTTCAATCTTGCCATATGCAGCTATCCATTTAAATTAATAAAGTAGCAGCACTTTCACAATTAGAGACACATTAGAAATAATTAGCCCATATTGTGGACATGAATTTTGATCTCTGTTGGAGAAGGATTTTAGTTTTTTATTTTAATTGAATTGTGTGTCATTTATAGCTTTCCTTCCCAGTACAATACAAAAAGCTCATAAAAATCAATCAAATATAATTCCATAAAAATAATTAGCACATTTAACAACAAAACACATCTGATAAAGGGGAGAAGGCGTAACTGGGTATTTTGTAATAATAGTAACTGTTACTTCTGGTTTCGCCAGAGGTGGCTTAGTCATGCTGGCCACATGACCCAGAAAAACTGTCTGCGGACAAATGCCGGCTCCCTCGGCCAGTAAAGTGTAAAGTGAGATGAGCACCGCAACCCCAGAGCCGTTCACAACTGGACTTAACTGTCAGGGGTCCTTTACCTTTACCTATTATAATTAGAGCATGTGTAGTGTTATGAAAACAGAGCAGCATCTTGCAAGAATTGAGTGTATCTTGGCCCATCTAAATCTATGGACTTCCTGATTTATGTCATTCCGGTTGCTGTAACTTCTGTTGATTGACTCATGCTATTTTCCTTGAAGATATGTTCATTCATGTCTTAATCTCATTTGGTAGAATGATCTAACCTCAGAGGACATGTGTGCACATGTGTGCATGTACACATTGTTGCTTTCGTTTCACAAAGCTAACACAGCTAACCTTCTCAAATGCATTATTATTTCATATTTGAAGCGGCAGAATGTATACCTCCTATATTATTATCATTTTAAAAATTTACCTGTCAAGTTGATCTTATGGAGTTCAGACTATTAAGGCCATTTCACAGCAGGTTGAACCAATCATACTGTGTCATAATGGCTGACCTTTAAAATTCATCTTGAAATTGCTTGATACATGCCATCTAGGAAGTTTAAAGACAAAATATGTGTTGTTGTTATGTTTTCATCATCTTGCTAAGAAAACTTGGGAGTTCGGAGGGAAAATGCTAAAAACAAACAAACAAATTTTCAAGCCACAACCCAATGCACAGTTTAAAGCACTAACCTTGTTAATTGGTAAAAGCTTAAGCGTGCCCATTCTTGGGGTTGTGGCTTCTTGGGGAATGTGCAATGGTATGAGTAATGTGCAAAAGTTACAGGAGGAATTCAATTTTTGATTCCATTCTCTAAATGTCAAAACCGCAGAAAGTGCATCAGACTAGCTGAACTTCAAGTGATGCAATCAGAGGTGCCATTTCCCTGCAATATTGTCAATTGCACATTTTTGTGCCTAACCTCAGATATCTTTCTTCATGTATTTTGACTTGTAGATGCATGCTATGAGTGCATTGTGTTGGGTTTTCTTAATGTTGATGTGGTCAGTGGTGCTACACATAGCTGTGGGTTTATAATTATAACCTGCATAGCAGCACATCTGTGAGCTCTTAACAATTCAACACACCTGTGGTATCTTAACAATTTAACTAATTAGCGGGGGGGGGGTTACATGCTGCATCGAATGCAGCGATGTGATAGGGTACTTGATTATTTTGAAAACTATATTTAGGTTGACCAAATGCTTTGTATGGTACTGGCTGGTGTAGAGTGGTGAGTTGCAACTGTTATTATTTAAAAATAAAGATATGCAAAGATGTTGCAGGCAAGTTTTTATTCCATCGCCCCAGTTGCTGCGCAAACTCGGTTGGTGAAGAAAGTCCAACACATTGAACACACGCATTCTGGTTACGCTGCATTATGGCCTTCACAGTATTGGTATTATTACTTAGCCCTGAAATTGCTAGATGGAGAAAAGAATAGCAAAAGTAAAATAGATCCTCATTGTAGATTGAGGAATTAAGTTTCGCTGACAGTAAAGGTAAAGGGACCCCTGACCATTAGGTCCAGTCGTGACTGACTCTGGGGTTGCGGCACTCATCTCGCTTTATTGGCTGAGGGAGCCGGCGTACAGCTTCTGGGTCATGTGGCCAGCATGACTAAGCCACTTCTGGCGAACCAGAGCAGCACATGGAAACACCGTTTACCTTCCCAGTGGAGCGGTACCTATTTACCTACTTGCACTTTGACGTGCTTTCAAACTGCTAGGTTGGCAGGAGCAGGGACTGAGCAATGGGAGCTCACCCCGTTGTGGGGATTCGAACTGCCAACCTTCTGATCGGCAAGTCCTAGGTTCTATGGTTTAACCCACAGCGTCACCTGCGTCCCTTCGTTGACAGTAGAGCAACAGAAATTAATGGAGCTGAGTTAGTCATATCCATTAATTTTGGTGGATTGCTCTGAGAAGAATTTAGTTGGATACAACTCTTATCATCCAGGTATTCACGTACATGATAGGCTCAAAATTATACTGCCCACTCCCATAAAATGTGAATGGGAACTTGCCTGAGGACAGAATAGCTTAAGAAGATTCCTGCAGAATCAAGGCAATAGCCCTTTTAGTCCAGTATCCTGTCTTAACAATGGCCAACCAGATTCCCATGAAAAACATGAAAGCAAAATCTGAACTCAACAGCTCACTCTCTCCTGCTTTCATTACCAGCAGCTTGTACTCAGAGCCACATTGCTTCTAGCATTGGAGGCACAATATCGCCGTCGTGGCTGGTACCCACTGATATCCTTATCTATAATGTTTCTAAATCCTCCTTTAAAGTCATCCACATGTGGTCATCGCGACATGCTGCAGGAGCAAATTCCCAAGTGTAACAATGTGCAATGTGCGAAGAAGCACTTTTATCTCTCCGGAGCCTAGCAACTTCATTGGATGGCCCTGAGTTTAAATATTACAAGAGAGGAAGAAAAACGTCTTCTTGTGCACTTTTTCCAAACCATGTGTAATCTTGTACACCTCTATCATGTCCCTGTCACCTGGCTTTTAAAAATATAAAAAGTCCCAAATGTTGCAAGCAATCCCTTGATGAGTTTGTTTGCTCGTTTCTGGACCCTAGAACTCTACAAGCAATGGCAATGACTCACTTAGTGCACATCAGGCACTGTCTACCTTAAACCCCCAACTACCCCCTTTCCAAGCTGTAGCCCTGTCCTTTCTCAGTTCCTTACATTCCTATTCTGTGCAGCAACTCACATTTAGAAACATTCTGGACTTGTTTCTGTGCTCTCCAAACAACTGTGGAGAGCTCAGCTGCTCACATCCATCCCTGTGGTCCCACCCTTCTCTCCAGTGGCAACAGGAGAAATGAGAAATTCCAGTAGGAGTGGCTTAATCACTGTGATCATGCCAGGCTATATCTTCATACTGTTGCATTTATGCATGTCAGGGAGAATTATACCATGCCTGAACTGGATGCTGTTAGGATTTTTATCTCGCCATGCTGCTCAGCAAGTAGCACTATATTGTTTATATCATGTGAGTGTCTAAGAGCGTGAACAGGAAGTCTCAGTACTGTTGGAGTACTGCTGGAGAAGTTACTTTCACTTCTGTGTGAGATGTTGTTCTGTACTGCTGCTGAGAGAGCACAGACATGCTGATGGATTCTTTGTATATAGGCTGTAAAATAAAGTAGTTTTAGAACTACGATTGACTCTTTCTTCTGCAATGAGATGCCAGAAGACGAGTGTGCTCCTCTCAGGAGGGAGGGGTTGCTTATCACTGGTCTCTCTGGACTGAGGAAGATTTATAGCCAGAGGGTGAACACCGGAGAGATGCCCTGGTGTCTTGGGAAGGTGGTGGCCTTCCTGGGCGTTTTTTCAACAGATCCAATGCATTGTTTTGGCACTGTTATGACGAAGCATTTGACAGGTTCCCCCCCAGAATAAATTGCATTTTGGTAGCTTAGGTACTGGGTTCAGTTTCATAGAATTCAAAAAGGTGAGCCCAAGTTCTGGCAGCAGCTTCCCAGTGTGGTGTAGTGGTTAAGAGCGGTAGTCTTGTAATCTGGGGAACTGGGTTCGCGTCTCCGCTCCTCCACATGCAGCTGCTGGGTGACCTTGGGCCAGTCACACTTCTCTGAAGTCTCTCAGCCCCACTCACCTCACAGAGTGTTTGTTGTGGGGAGGAAGGGAAAGGAGAATGTTAGCCGCTTTGAGACTCCTTCAGGTAGCGATAAAGCGGGATATCAAATCCAAACTCTTTTCTTCTTCTTCAAAAGCAACCAACCAACCAACCAACCAACCAATGTATTTTCAAATTTAACATTAAAAGATACTGTGACTGCTAAGTTGTTCACCATTTCATAGAACCATAGAATCTTAGAGTTGGAAGGGACCCTGAGAGCCAGTGCGGTGTAGTGGTTAAGAGTGGTAGTCTCGTAATCTGGGGAACCGGGTGCGCTTCCCTGCTCCTCCACATGCTGCTGCTGGGTGATGTTCGGCTAGTCACACTTCTTTGAAGTCTCTCAGCCTCACTCACCTCACAGAGTGTTTGTTGTGGGGGAGGAAGGGAAAATAAATTGTTGGCTGCTTTGAGACTCCTTAGGGTAATGATAAAGCGAGATATCAAATCCAAACTTTTCTTCTTCTCTTCTTCATCTTGTCAAACCCCTGCAATGAAGGAATATGCAGCTGTCCCATACAGGCATCAAACCTGCAACCCTGGCGTTATCAGCACCACATTCAAAACTACTGAGTTATATGACTGTGAAATGAATGTCCTGTAATAATGACATCATACACGTGGGACTTACACTTGCTATTGTTTAGTGAGACATGGGCTAATCAGTCCCCTCGCTTGGAAAACAAAACATAGATCAAAACAGAATTAGTCAATGTATATGATCGGGAAAATAACCCCAAGGGTTTTGATGAGGAAGGAAAAATACAGCTGTGAATTCATTCTGCAAGTTTCTTCCAACTTTTTCAGTTTCTTTGTCCTGACTCTGATTTGATATCCCTTTACCTACTCCCTTGCAGGATTTATAACGACTGTCAAGGTATTATTGCTGCATTCTTATCATAAGAAATATGTCAAGTCAATGAACAGTCAATGAGCTGACCCTACTATGCCAGCAAGCAAGTGCTTAGGATTGCATGACTGAGCCCTTATGATCTACGCCAGATTTGCTTGAGTGCTGCGCCATCATAATGGACAATTATGCTGCTGTCACTATTTAGAATCAGGAGGAGGAAAGTGCACGATCTGCTCATACTTCCTGAATAAGCTTGCTCAGCATTCTTCATAATCGCCTTCAACGCTTCCTCCCCAGAAGCAGCTGGCTGGGTGAGGCAGAGCTGCCATGCTAGCTTCCCAGCAGGGTTGCTAATGCGTACTGAGAAGGAGATAGGGAGAGGCAGGGAGGCCAGGGCAATCCAAGCGGTGCAGCTATGCCAACTTCTCTGCTGCCTCACTTTCCCACCTCTCCCTTTTGAGAAGCCGCAGAGACCCACCTGCCAGGAAGCTTGTGTAGCTGCTTCTGCTCTTCCCGTGTGCACCTATCTATACCTCGACACCTGGATAGGAACGTCTGCAAATTCCTATGGTCTCTGGGGTACCATATCTGTCTCTTTTGTTCTCCCATTTCCCTTCCTCGATAGCAGAAACAGTTCATTGTGATGCTACCTGGAAAAATGAATATTACTGCTGTTTTCCTAGTCTATTGTAAACCACCCCATGATGGTTTGGATGAAGGGTGGTATATAAATAAATATAATAAGTAAATAAATTAATGATTTTGCCCTTGGTCTCTTTTCCTTTCATTTTGTGGACATCCTATTCAATGTATGTATGCTTCTTCATTTTGTGGCACATTCGAGGAGCTTCTCAATGGTTTTCTTCTTCTTTAAAGTAACTTGACTTTGCATTTGATAAGCTGCTCTTCCAGCTTTTCTTTTTATAAGCTTTTCATATATATATATATATATATATATATATATATATATATATAGAAAGAAAGTTAGAGAAAGTTGTTGGGTACTGTAATGTTTAGCATCACTGCCTTTGACTTAACTTGATTTCAGTACAGTAACAGCATTTCAGAGAGGTACTTAATTTCAATTAAGAAATGTCAAACGAGTATTACAAAATATGTGTAAAAGATGTTGCCAAGAGAAATCAATTTGTATGGTAGGGGGAATAATACTTGAATGGGAAGCATAGAGAAATAATGTAAATAAATTGAAACGAAAAAAAGCGAGAAAAGAAATGAAAGTCATTTCGCCAGGATAAAGAAAGATGAATGGGGCAAAAGAAATGAATGGATTGGCAGAAGCACTGTGCCTAAGAGCTGTATTTGGCAATCTCCAGAAAGATTTAATGTAGCATCTATCTAAAAGCAATGTATCAAGACCTCTGAAGTATCATGGATAAATGTATTATTGTGTCCACTTAAGACTACTTGGTAACGACCAACAATTTTATAATGTATCCTTATCATAACCTCTTTAGGATTATGAAGAAACTTTGTATGAAATCTTTTAGCTACAAATTGGGTGAAAAGAACAAAATCTGCTGAGTTTTGAAGAATTGCTATGAAAGAATGTAGTTGGCGACAAAGTACTACAATGTAGCTTTGATAGATAAGAGGACACGGCTAAGTAAATAGTCATGTTGTTACTTCTTGACATTACAGATACCCAGAAGCTTGCTCACAAAGAAGTTTTTGAGTGAATGAATGCAGGTGTGAAAGGATTTACATTACAGGGGCCAAAATAATATAAAGCACAGAGACCCTGTTTCTGAAGGAACATCAAGTAAACAAAACCAGCTAGCAAGAACAAGGTGCTAAAAGGATGTAAGGGTATGAGATTTTGAGGTGCTATTAAAGAATGAGTAACCAAACAAGCTCTGAGCATGCCCAAAGGATTTATGGAGACACATAAATGCTCCACTCTTCTTGTGGCATGTGAAGGGGCAAGCTACCCCCAGCATTGGTGGTTGTCAGGCATCAAGGCAGCAATGGACTATGATTACTAAAAACATGCCTTTATTGCCACATGATTCTGATGGGGAAAGAGCGATTTATTACATCTAAGTTCCTGGGACCCTGGGACATCAAAGAGCAAATATTGTGTATAAGCACACAACTTCCAACAGGACTTGGAAGAATGAATCTAAACCACCAGCACTCACAGTCTTCCCTGGCTTTAGCCTTGGCTAGTTTCATGTAATATGTGAATGGGACCTAGGTAACTAAAATTTTGATATGCCTCCCTGGCTTGCGAGGGAAGTTTTATGCCTTTATTCCAACCAGGCAACAGTAATCAATCAAGCTTTTCAGACTATTTGAATGGTGTGGTATTCATTGAGCAGTCATCCCACATGATCTCCTGCTACCTATGTGGGAAAATCTGATCAGCTTGCACACACGATACCTTATTTAGCAGCTGACCTCAATTTTCCATACCATCTCAATACAAGGGGTAAGATGATCTTTCAGGTATCCTGATCCCCAAACCTGTACCTTGAACTTACCCCATTAGTTAGCTGGCAGCCAGATGGCCATTGAAGAAATTGTTATCCGTATATGCGGGAAAACTGACCTTCTCTAGAACATAGCTCCAAGAGTTTGATCTTGAAATTGAAAGAAGGACAGATTTCCCCTAGGACTCTGAAAGCTGGATTTATTTTATCCGTAAACTGCTGTGAATAGCCCGAAGATATTCTATTTGAAAACCCTGAGTCGAAAACCACTTACCGCAGTGGTTAAGAATGGAACAAGGGAGCAGAGCTGGCTTTGCTGGAATAGACAACAGCAAAAAAAAAGTAGATAAACAACAGCATGTAGAGGAAGAAAGAGAAACCGTGAGAAGACTTATCAGCAGGTAATAAATGATTGCATGAGGAGACAGGTCAATAATGGACAGGGGATTCCCAGGGAGAGGCAATGCTGCGCATTTCATTTGGGCTCCCAGCTTAATTAGAAGAAGCACCTGTGGGGGAAATGTGCCCTCACGACAGGAACCCTGAACTGTTTGGTTTCTGGTACTATAAGAAAACAGAAGGCTAAGGGGTGAGAGAACAAAGCTAATAAAGGGCCCAGCATCTCCTAAATGCTCTTCAGAGGGGGGAATCACTTTTGGAGGCAGTCATAAAAATGCGAGTGTAAAGCAGAATAGATGTGTTTAATATAGAGCTCACTGCTGAAACATTAACATCTTTAAAAGGTATGCAAATGTAGGGGATAATGGATCCTTTGCATTTGTTCCGCTCAAAAATGACCTTTCACCGTGCTTATGAATGCCATGTTTCGTGAGCAGGGCCAATATCAGCCAAGGTACGATGCTATCTTCTTCCGAGATAGTGACATATTTTGTCACTCTATTGTTAGGAGGCTCTCCTTCAATTCAGCTGCCGTGGGTTACTCTGCTAGAATACATTTGCAGCTAGATTCAACAATGCTTGTCATTGTGATACAACCAAAATACGGTTTGCCAAGGTGAGATATGAACACCATCGTAAACATCTACATGCAAACATTTATTTGAGGAAATGGAGTTGTGGATCAGGAAGTCCCATGCCCCAGTTACAAGTCAGGCATGACAGCCGACACATTCAAAGCCGCAAATTGGCCCACATGAAATAGACTGCTGTCTCCCAAAAGCAGAGAGGTGGGCTGAAGAAAGCACACCATGAAATGAGGGATGCCTGAGGAATCATAATTCTGAGGTGAGCTGACTGGATCTGTACCTGCCAGACTTACGTGTGGGTCAGAACAGGCGAGTTATCTATGGGTTTCTGTACTTCCCAAATGGTTTGAGAAAAATCATATATCTACTACTACTTGTATCTTGCCCATCTACTGTGTTGTCCCAGCCACACTGGGCAGCTCATTTAATATGTGTCTTGTGAGAGAAAGTGCATTTAGAAATATTTCTTGAAATACACATTTATTCATTTAACAAACTGTATATATTGCTGTGAGAGAATGCATTGGGGGGTGAGGGAAGCCCTACATCTGAAGGATACAGACAGTTCCCAGCCGCTGTTGGTGTGGGGTAGTTGGTGAGGAACACAGAGGGGCACGACTCAAGGATTTTCTTTTTTCTTTCTCATTTAATGGAGCAGGACTCCTGACATCATGTGCCAGAGCAACAGGGAGATGGATGGACCTGCTGAGGTGCTAATGAGGCTTTCAAGTTTGTGACAGATCATAGAAGATGTTAGCAAATGAGGAACTAGATATCACCTGATCCAGGTGGCTAATTCCAAAGAGTACCCAAATCATATCGTGGCTGCTGTAGGTAGATCATGGCTTTGGGGCAGAAGTCTAGGGTCCACCCAGCAAAATGTGTAGGAACTGTTGATTTAAGCAGAGTCTCGTGCCCAGCGGAAGGATGAGGAATACGTGCTCCATACTCCATATTGCTTTATTTACAGTTCAAAGCTGGTATATTACAGAAAGACATCTTGCCTCTGCAGGAGCAGAAAAAGCATCCTCTCTCCTCAACAGCTCGGAGAGAATCACACAGTGAAAAACAGGAAACCAGTGTACGTCACATCCAGTCTCCCTTTCCCGTGAGAAACTCCAACAGTACAGACTGTGGAATGTAAACACCTGTCTCGTGACAAGCAGAGCTGCACAGTGAACGAAAGCAGAAACCAACATCCTCCCCATTTCTGTGAACATCACTGGGCAGCGTGTTTGTACAATATCAGTACAAACCCAACTTCTGCACATAGGTACAGTGTTGATCCCTTGAT